CTAAGGTAGCCGGTTTTCAAAACCAGGATGTGTTTTGCTCCTCGACTACCTTTTCCCCACCGCGAGCAGGCAGCCCCCCCAGGAGAAACCCGCCCATCCTCACCTGCCGCAGGTGCCTCAGCAGCTCGGTGGCCTCCTCCTGCTTCCCCTGCTTCACCAGCACCAGCATGTCCTGGATCATGCAGATCCGCCGGTGATAAGGGGGCAAGCTGCTGCCACCACCTTTCCCAAACTTCTCGCCGGACTTCACCACGAGGGAGGTGAGGAAGTCCCCCCTTTCCCTGGGGGATACTTTCTTGCGGTGTTGGGCAGGGGGGCTCTCCCCGGAGCTGCCCGGCTGGCACCCCTTGGTCTGCTTGGTGCCCATGATCTGTGGCCACAGCTCCTGCAGCCCTGGAGCTGCATGCAAGGGGAAGGGCCAGAGCATCGCTGAGAAGAAACAGTATCTGAAGCCAGAGAGAACTTGGGAGCAACTCACAGAACTTCACAGGCACTAAGATTTATTCTGGGGGGAGTTGTTTGATATATACACTTTCTAAAATTAGTATCTGCCTTTCTGCCAGCTCCAATGGGCTGCTGGTGCAAAGATAATGCTTTGGCAGGGCTGGGAGGGTGCAACATTTTGGCACAGATCTGCTGCCCAACTCATGGCCACTTCTGCCCTATCAGGTTTTCCTGGCCATGTGCTTCTCCCAGTGTAGCCACACAGATCCTGCACAGAGAGGTCATCACCCCAAAGAGCCATAACCTTGACTCCCAGGGAGGGGGCACATTCATCTTGGAAAAAAGCACCTTATCTCAAGGCTGAGAGTAAATCCTGAGAGGTTTCTATAAAGGAACAAAACACATATGAAACTGTTCAGATTCCTCAGCTGGACTGTGCCAAAGACAGTCCTGGGTCCTGTAAACCAGCTGGGCAGGGACCTTGGCTGATGGGTTAAATGGAAGCATGACTCCCAGGGGGGTGACAAGGTCAGGGACATGCCCTGAACAACATAACCACTTGCTATAAAGTAAAGAGGAACAGAAAATAGGGTGGGGGGGAATGCAAAAAGCAAAACTCAAATACAAAAAACAAGAAGAAAATGGTCGGGGTCTGGCCCAGCTGGAACAGATGGACACAGACCAAACCTATGGGGCAAGAAAGCAGCTCCCAATGCCCAGCAAAGATCTGAGCAACTCTTCCCAGGTAGTAGAACTGGTTACACCAAACAGCTGGGTGCCTTGCAGCCTCCTTGGGAGAAAAAACAAACTTGAAGACCGCACCGTTTTCAGTTTGCATGGAAAACTGTTTTTCAAAGCTACGTGGACCCCAGAGCCTTGAAAATGCCCAGTACTTTGGTCTTTTCATCACCACGTATCAGTAGAAAAGGTTAAATGCTCGTTTGCTGGCTACAGAGCAGTGCTTTTCAGCTGCCTTTCTGTTTGCTCACAGCAACTTTCCGTAGTGTTGCTTCTTAGCTAATGACCAGCTCAAACAGGCTTTCAAGGGGAAAGGTCTCGGGCTCCACACAATCCATTCCCCACTACAGCACAGCACCTCACACACTCATTTCTTCAAGCCCCAGTCAACACCAGCAAAACTCCACCAAGTAATAACGTATCAAAAAAGAACAAGATAAAAAGCAAAGCTGCCAAATCTAGGTTATTTCTGATTCTCAAAAGCTGCTGGTTCAAACTGCCTCAAGGCTCTCACAAATTTGCTTCAAACACCAAACTTTTGGGAAGTTGAGTGGGCTGCACACATTGCAAACCCCAGAGCTACCAGTGCAAAGCGAGGAAGGGAAAG